CCAGAAAATCAATAACTTCTTCTTCCAGCTGATTTACTTTGCCTCTGTTCAATTTGCTCGAGCTTAAAGACAAATTTATCACACAGGTAAATTTTTTCTTCATATTTTGGGTTGACAACTCGAGTTTCATATTTATTAATTTCCTCAAATTCATTTCTGTGTTTCTCCTGCTTCGGGCACCCGCGCGAACATTTTATTAAACTTCTGGACTCAGCTTTAAACCACACCCGCAAATTCTACGGTGCCCACTTCTTTCGGCTTTATCCCAAGGACCTCGTAGGGACGGCCTAAGCTCGGAGGGATCTTCACGAATTAGGTTGGAGGTGCGGACTACGACTGTTTTCTGGGCTGGCGGCGGGTTTCTTTATCAACTGAGTGACTTTAACTTCTCAAAAAAGATTGTCATTAATGGCAAGTTCAGTTCAGAAAAGCAAAAGCTTATTCTGAAATTTTATTTCGTACGTGGAAATCGCGCAGCTGCTGGCCTCCTCCTTCCGCATTCATGACAAATAATTTCTTCCCTTTAATGCTGACGATGACGACGAAGTGTTGTTGTTGTTGTGAATGGACCCAATACTCTGGATTGTCTGGGAAACCTCTACTAGCAGTTTAAATTTCCCAAACATTTTATCATAACGAAATTATCTCATCAGCAACCTTGAACTTGACCGCAAACGGGCGTTAACGTGACGTAACAAACGCCTTGTAGCACGAGGACTGCAAAAATAAATGAACGCAGTATTTAAGAGCAGCCTCAAGGCTTCATTACGTCGCGAAGTGTAGCCGACGGCCATGTTCGCAGAAAAGGTAAGGAATGTGTGACAAACCAGCACATTAAATTAAATTAAATTAAGGCCAATTACGAAACCGGCGGAAGGACAAGGCGAAGCAGGGGCTGGGTTAGAGCACACAACACACATCACCTATGCACACACGCGCGCGCCTTTCGCGAGGACTGCGGTTTGGTTATATCTTGTAACCACGTGACAGTCGTTTATGTAACAAGTTCATGACGGGAATTTGGCCCTGTGGCGAGGCGTGGTTTCAATCGCACGGACACGCCGACTCCCAAAATAAACGGTACTGCAGTTTAATCCACGACGTTCCTCTTCATGACGTAATTTCAACCAATTTACACGGCAAAGACATCGTTTGCGGCACATCCGAGGGCGGCTAATCGCAGCGACACGCGAGTCGTACCGGAAGGCAAGCAGGTCCTCCCGAGAGCCGGGAAGTGACACTTGCGTTTGGCGTTGACGATGGGCGCACGTTCGGCCCAAGACCTCTTGACGACGCTGCCATGGCAACAGTCACGAGTTCATAAATATCCTACACGGCTCGAAACACCTTAAGGGCAACAACCACGTCCGCACTTGAAGGGACAGCAAACAGCTGGAGGTCTTGCTAGGACAAATACCGTCTCTGGCTACAAAATATCAGCTTCATGATAACTAACTACATGGCTTACGGAACCCGAAAGTTCATCACCGAACTAACCAAAGTCCTCCACCAGACCCAGTTTCCTTCAACTCCTATCTCCCATAGATCCCGCCTGAGATTATCCTCCCATCTACGTCTAGGTCTCCCCAGCGGTCTCTTCCCCT